AGTTTCTCATGGCTTAGATGTTATTTGGGCCATGCTTTTGTTCTATCTCTGTTTTTTTTTCTATTATACAATTTGGCTATTTTGTAGTTGAAAAGGTTGGTGTAATCAGGAAGAATGCAGTATGTTTTTGGGTATCTTTGTATCCTTTGTGAATTTCGATCCCTATGCAGTTTGTGTGTTTCCAAAAAAAAAAAAATGATGATGACTGAGATTCTCAGCAGTAGCCTAATCAATCTAGAAAGTGCAGACTGTTAAGTTATGACAGATTAGCTGGTTAACTGAGTTCAGGAAGCTAGATTGATTGGCCTATGTTTCCTTATAAATAATCAACTCCTCTGTGGTTGAAAAGATTGGTGAAACCAGAAAAAATGCAGTATATTTTTGGGAATCTTTGTATCGTTTGTGGATTTCTATCTCTATGCAATTTGTTTGTTTCCAGAAAAAAGCAGATATAATAACTAAGATTCTCAGTAATAGCCTAATCAATATTTTCCTGCTAAGCCAATTAGAAAATGCAGACTCTTGAGCTATGACAGATTAGCTGGTTAACTGAGTTTAAGGAGCTAAATTGATTGGCCTATGTTTGCTGATAAAGAATCAAGGAGAAAAGGTTCAAATGCAATTCTTTTTCGTTGAATGGTTGGTTAAAGAAGCTTTATACAAATAAACTGATCACCTTGAACTCGTGAGAAATTTTTAGAGAAAAACAAAAAAATCAAAATACCTTTATCTATTTAGAAGTTTGTTTGGCCTACAAGAAACGTCCTGCAAGAAATGACAAACTATGTGTCAAACAAAACAAAAAAAAAGGACAATTTGAATGGACCTGTTTTTAATGTCCATCTTATACAGGTCCTGTATCCTGAATTTCTTGCAGTTAGACAGCTTTTCCCTGTAAAGCAATCTGAATCTCTTGCAGTTAGGCAGGTACTGTAAACTGATTTCTGCATCTATGTCCCCTTCTTTTGGTTGCTCAGTCATTTAATACCCTGGAACATGGATTTCAGTCTGTACTTACCTGCTGATACTTTTGTTTTTTCCTCCCTTTTATGGTGTAGGCTGCTGTATGTGCTACGGGAGATATTGTTAGGTTGTCAAGAGCTCTTTTTATCTTTCTTCTACTTATCTAGGTGATCCATTGTAGTTAGGTGTGAAAACAAAAAGGCTAGAATCCTGCAGATTCTTCTCCTTTTTTTTTTGTGCATCAGGAATATACTTATCCTGCCTAAAACACAGGTTTGTTTCTGTTCATTCTCTATAGAATATAGTTCAAAGTATTTCTGTTATTACCATCTATGCATTTAGACACATTTATCTGGACCTGTTGCATATATTTGCTTTGGTTGTTTTATACCGTGCTGCTCTATCAATGAACCCCTTATGGCTATGATTTCAACTTGTTCTGTTTGGAGCTTTTTACATGGTATATCTGAGATCATACTTCTTTTTTTTTTTAGCCACTGAGTAGTTAAACAATCTATTTGTTAGCTATGAAAGCTGCCATGCTAAGTCTTTTCCTTGCTTTACTTGGTCATAATAGTGTTCCTAATGACTGTGTGTGTTTCTAGACAGGGAATTGCTTGGCAACTTATAATTTTTCTGTTCTCACATGCATTTTCTCCTGTTTGTTTTTCCTATCAGATAGCTCTTGATAGTTCAAGTGAATTTGAGGTTCTGCTGAAGCTTGTTTTTTTCCATTCTCGTGTTCTTTTTTGATCCATTGAAGACAATCAGGTATTATTAAGTTGAAATATACTTTTTATGTTTTCCACCAGGTTCCTTAGTTCATTCTCTCTTTTCATGCTTTAGCCTCAACTGATGCTGTGCTGTTTTGAGTTTTACTTTGCCAGTTGACTTTTTCTTTTTCCTATTTAGGTAGGACCGCTTCTGTTTATGCATTTATATGTTTCTATTTATGCATTCCTTTGCTAATTGTTTATTTTCAAAATAACTGGCCTTTAGTGTTTTACCCTTTAAAAAAATAGCTATCCTGTAATATATTAACTTACTATATGAAATACTATAGTTAGTTTCTTTCATGGACCGCAATACCGTTAGGCGTATGCATTATGCTAATATGCCAAAAGAGAAAAAGGATGAGTTGTTGCAGCGCAGATGGGAGCGGTATGCTAGAAATAAGACAGCTAATGTGCATCCTGCTGAGGGTTCTGTCTATTCATCTATACCAGAGGAACAAAAAAATAGAAAACGCCAATGCAGAAAAGAGTTAACTGCTTTGGAAAAGCTGAAAAAAATAGCCCCTCCTGAGGCCTCTACTCCTGTATGCAATGTTCCCAAGTCTATCCGCTCCTCAAAAAACTGTAGTTCCTCTGCTAAGGAACCTTCAACAGAGCAATGTCTGAATAGTTCAGTACCTGAGCCATGCAGCTCTGTACCACAGCCAATTCCTAGCAACAATGAATTAACTGATCTGTTTGATGGTATATCAACAAAACTCCAGTCTTCTTTACCTGTTTCAACAAACCAGTCTACTGTCCCTGAAGGTACATTGCTCAGTTTATCCTATGTTTCTTAACAAAGCAATGTTTGCTTATTTGCATTCCTGCTTTATAAATATTTTTGATGCTTATCAGGCTTTCGATAAACTTGTTGTTCTAGTTCATGATAACTCCTTGGTAGAAGAAGGAACCTGTATTGTCAACGTTGCTCCATCTGTTTCTTCTAAACACAGTAGTGGCCAACAAATTGTTGTTAACACCCAGCTCGTGAACACAGGTTGGATGTAGTCTATATTATAAAGTTGCTATGCCTTAAAAATGCTTCAGATTATATTGTTTTTTCTGTTTTGCCCCATAAATTGATAAATATATGGTTTGGTGTGGTATTATTAGGTAGGCAACGAAGTACCAAAAAAACCAGTTTTTCTTGCTTGAAGCATATTCCAACCGAATCATTGGTCCTCCCTGATGCCCCAAAGTGTCAACACTGTGGGGCTTATCGATTCCATTTGGAACCTCCCAATTTTTGCTGTTCTGGTGGAGAGGTTTCTGTTGTTCATCCTGTGATGCCTTATGCCCTCTTCCGCCTTTATTCCGGTACAGATGAGGAATGTATTCACTTCCGCAAGAATGCACGTACCTATAATAACAATCTTGCCTTTACCACTTTTGCTGCAAAATATGATAGAAAAATGACTAAAAATCCTCAGGGAGTTTACACTTTCCGTGTCCAAGGTTAAATTTATCATCTTCTGAATAGTCTCACACCAAATGGCCACCCTCCTACTGGTATCCAGCTGTACTTTTATGATCAAGAGGAAGAATTATCACAGAGACTCAATACTTCTCCAAGATTACGGGAGAGTACTCTTAAGCTTCTGATGGGTATTCTTGAGCAGAATCCTTATACCAAAGTTTTTAAGTCTTTAAGAGAGCTTCCTAATCTAGATAACCATAGCATATTTCTTAATTCCAACCCGGGCCTTGACCAACGGTTATATAATATGCCAACAGCTTCAGAAGTCGCTGCAATATGGACAGAGCATGATAGTGAAACCTTAGAAAAGGGCACCAACATACAGGTTTATAGTCATGCAAATACAAGCCATAGAATCCAACACTATTTTGCATGCTACGACTCTTTGCAGTACCCACTATTGTTTCCCAGAGGTGAATCTGGTTGGCACTATGGTATTCCAAGAAACACTACTGCTAATAAAAGAAAGAGGGAAGAAACTGATGATCACAGCCTTGTTGCTTTACCTAAGATAGGAAATGTTGTTGATTTTATTCAAAAGGAAAATGAAGGTAAGTTTTGCTAAATTCTGTTTTTCTTTGATTCCTGAGTCTTTTTAAAAAAAACACTGAGGGTCTTAGCTTTTGCTTTTCTTGTTTTAGTTGCTGAGGAGGGAAAGAAAAAACGGGAAACTGTTTCTGCTCGAGAGTATTATTGCTACAAATTGCAGATCAGAGATGATGACACCTCAACGCTCTTGCACACAAGGAGACTATTGCAGCAATTCTCTGTGGATATTTATGTTAAGATCGAGACTTCGAGGATTGAATTCCATAGGAAAAAATAAAAAGAAATCAGAACTGAGATTCTTAAAGGTGTAACATATAGCATCTCTTCTGGTCAGACTAACGGCGGTAAAGTTGGCCGCCGTGTTTATCTTCCATCTTCCTTTATTGGTGGTCCAAGGGACATGAGACGGAGGTATATAGATGCTATGTCTTTGGTCCAGAGATTTGGTAAGCCTGACATATTCATTACTATGACTTGCAATAGGATGTGGAAAGAAATACGTGACAACCTAAAGTATGGAGAAGAGGCTCAAGATAGACCTGATTTAGTTTCAAGAGTGTTTAGAGCAAAGTTAGAATTATTAAAAGCTGAAGTTACAAAAAAAAAAGATATTCGGTGAAGTGTCTGCCTGTGTGTATGTGATTGAGTTTCAAAAGAGAGGCCTTCCTCATGCTCATATGTTGATTATTTTAAAGCCAGAATATAAGCCCCTCAATCCTGAAGCTTATGACATGATAGTTTCTGCCGAAATACCAGATCCTTCTAAGCAGCCACATTTATACTTTCTGGTTATGAAGCACATGATGCATGGTCCATATGGTTTATTAAAAAAGGATAATGTTTGTATGAAAGATGGGGTGTGCAAGAACCATTATCCAAAGAGTTTTAGTGACTACACAACTTATACAGAAGATGGTTATCCTCACTATAAAAGAAGGGTGGATTGTCGCTGTGTAAGAGTGAGGAATCATTTGTTGGATAATAGGTGGGTTGTTCCGTACAGTCCCTATCTTCTGGCTTTGTTTGACTGCCATTTGAATGTAGAGATATGTTCAACTGTTAAGTTAGTTAAGTATCTTTACAAATATGTTTATAAAGGGCATGATCGTGTGAGCTTTTATATCCATTCTGAAAATACCGTTGAAGATGTAGATGAAATTTTAGACTTTCAGTCTGGCCGCTGGGTGGCTGCTGCAGAGGCTTTTTGACGGATATTTCGATTTACTTTAAACGAAATGACCCCGAGCGTCTATGCATTACAGGTTCATCTTCTAGGAGAGCAAATGGTTTCTTTTCACAGAAGAACCAATCTTGCTGATTTAGTTGCTGATGTTGACTTCTCAAAAACGATGCTGACTGAGTTCTTTTATATGAATCAGACAAATAAAGATGCTCAGAAACTCAATCTCCTCTACAAACAATTTCCTGAGTTTTTTGTATGGAGCCCAGGCAAGAAACGGTGGTCTAAAAGAAAGCGTCGAAAAGTTGTTGGAAGATTGGTGACCGTTAGCCCAGCAGAAGGAGAGAGGTATTTCTTGAGACTGCTTTTATCCTGTGTTTGTGGCCCTACTTCGTTCGACCGCTTGTTGACTGTTAATGGAGTCCGTATGGCTTCTTTTAGAGAAGCCGCTTTTCAGATGGGTCTGTTACAATCTGATACGTTTATTGAAGACACCCTTGATGAGGCTGCTACTTTTCAGATGCCTTCTTCACTCAGAAACTTGTTTGCTGTGATGCTAAGTTTCTGCTCCCCGTCAAATCCCAAATGCTTGTGGGAGAGATATGTGTCTGAGCTATCAAGGGATTATCAAAAAAATAGTTCACTCACTGGATATACTCCGCAATACATCAGAATGCTGGTACTTCAGGAGATCAGTAAATTTTTGGAACAAATGGGTAAAAGCATGGATGACTTTCACTTGGTTCCTGACTACATTGGTGTTACATTAGATCAGCGGATTACAAAAGAAATTGAAACTGAAAGGAATATTCAGTTCACAGAGGAGGATCTGCTACTGTCTTCGAAGCTTAATGCCGGTCAGAAATTTGCCTACAGCTCTATCATGAAACAGGTTTTCTCACCAAAAAATAAAGTTTTTTCATCGATGGGCCAGGTGGGACAGGGAAAACTTTCCTTTATCGGTCAATACTTGCTACTTTGCGTTCTCAAGGCTATATAGCCATTGCTGTTGCATCGTCTGGCGTTTCTGCCTCTATACTTCCTGGTGGGAGGACTGCACATTCACGCTTTAAGATCCCTCTTGATATATCAGGAAATAAGTCTTGCCAAGTTAGTAAGCAAAGCTCGACCGCTAAGTTGCTTATAGAGGCCAAACTTATATTGTGGGATGAAGCTTCAATGGCTAAGAAGGAAACAATCGAAGCATTTGATATGCTTCTCAAAGACATAATGGAATGCGATAATCCTTTTGGTGGCAAGCTGGTGGTTTTTGGAGGTGACTTCAGGCAGACTCTACCCGTGATTAAAGATGCAACAAGAGACGTTTTAGTTCAGTCAAGTTTTGTCAACTCGCATCTATGGACTACTTTGTAGAAGATTACTTTATCAGAAAATATGAGGGCTGTCATGGATCATTCTTTCTCTGAATTCTTACTGCGGATAGGTGAGGGACGCGAACCAGAAGACAAAGATGGCAAAATATCTTTATGTAAGGATATGACAATCCCTTATGATGGAAAGGAGGCTTCTCTTAACAGGTGAACATCTTTCTGTATAATATTTTTGTATCATGTATATATATGATTGTACAGCTTTCAGTTTTCCCTCACTTTTTGTTCTGACTTTGTTTTTACTGGGCAGGTTAATCGAATCTATTTTTGGTGATCTAAATGTGTATTCTTCGGATCCATATCAGATAATTAATCGGTGTATTCTATCAAGAACAAATAATGCTGTTGATGATGTTAACCAGCTCATTATTGATAGATTTCCTAGAGATCCGCATACTTATATAAGTTCTGACAGAACTCTTAACGAAAGAGATCAAGGAGACTATGAAGACTTTCTCAATTCTTTAAATCCAAAGGGGTTACCACCTCATAAGTTGATCTTGAAAGAGAACTGTCCAATTATTCTGCTCAGAAACTTAAACCTAATGGAAGGCCTTTGTAATGGTACCAGGCTTATATGTAGAGAGCTGCGCCACAACACTATTTGTGCAGAGATTGCAGTGGGTCAGTACCGCGGTAAAAGAGTTTTCTTGCCAAAGATTCCTCTCCAAACTTCTGACAGCGAAAAGAATGGCATCCCCTTTAAGAGAACTCAGTTTCCTGTCAAGTTATGTTTTGCAATGACGATTAACAAGTCTCAGGGGCAAACTCTGGATTATGTAGGGATTTATTTGCGCGAGCCTGTTTTCTCTCACGGCTAGTTATACGTTGCCATTTCTCGTGCAAAAAGTTCGTCTGCAGTTAAAGCACTGATAGTTCCAGCAACGTATCGTGACGTAGTTACTGAGTGCAAAACTAGAAATGTTGTCTTTCATGAAGTTCTTGAATTAGCTAGACAGTAGCGTTTATTTCTGGTTTGTTTTTTTTTTCCCCATTTGTCATTTTGATCCCTTGAATGCTTTATTTTCTGGTTTGTGTTCTCTTTTGCAATTATATTACTGCATTGTCTCGTGAATTGTACATTAAAGATTCCCTTTTTTTATAGAATGGTGAATCTGCTTTCCATTGCTGATATCAAGCCAAAAATGAGGGGTTGGTCAGCGCATGTTACTGTTCAGGAAAAAATGCACGTCGCTTCTTCACAGAAATCCCCTACAAGATACCAAAAATTTGTTTTCTCTGATGACCAGGTACGAATCAAACTCTGCAATACTTTATCTGTCCTATCCTTTGCGTTAGCTAAGTCACCTCATGAAGTTAGCATATTTTTTTTAATCTAATATCAGGGATCAAGAGTTGAGGGAATTATGTTTAATGCTGCTATTGAAAAGATGGAGTCAAAGCTTCATACTTTTAAGAAGTATCTGATATCAAATGCCGATATTAGAGAAATTGAGGAACAGTATCAGACTAATTGCCTTACTATTCAATGGGTGATAAGTGCAAAAACTGTGGTTGAGGAGCTGAGTGAACAGGGAAGCTGTGTTTTGACTAACGAGTTTACTCCTATAAGCTTTAAAGACTTGGCCAGTTACGCTGATTCAAAGTCACAAACTGTTGGTCAGTATGCGTTCTTCTTCTAATCAATTGCAATGTCATCAATACAAGAACTTTGATTGAAAATCCAGTTGCTTACTTCTTTGCAATGTTTATCAGATATTATGGCTGTGGTTGTTGACTCAATGCCTGTGATTCCAATCAAAAGGGATTCACAGGAATCCTTTGTCCAGAGATTTCTCATTGTGAATGAAGAGTATACATTTTCTTTCCAATCCATAATCTTCCATTCATCAATAAGAAAATATTTAACAGTCTTATTTAGCAATTATTCCTTGCTGTCGTTTTGAATGCTAGGATGGTTCCTACTGTTCTATCTCTATGGAATACATTTGTTGAAAATGAAGGAAAACTGCTTACAGATCACCACAGCAAGCATCCAATTCTTATATGCCGCAGGCTTAAAGTTGTCACATACAATGGTACACAGAATCTTTAATCTGTTTTGTTCATCCTTAGAAACTATTGTTTGTCTAATTGAACTCACAGTATTTTTACTGTTGTAACAGGAATAGCACTCTCAACAAGAAATGATTCAGTCATTGTTGTTGATCCCCCTGTTAGAGATGCTAGAAGTCTCAAAAATTGGTGAGCATTAGTATTCAGACACACATTTAGGTTCTCAAACAATACTTTTCCTCTGATTATCTATCTGCTCCGGTTTCTATTATTATATATACACAGGGCATCAAGGAATGAAAAGGAACTACTTGCCCTCCGCCGTGATAAGCCGTACAATAACCAATCTCCTAAAATGTTTTATGGCCCTCGGCAAAAACTAACTGAAATAAGAGATGTTTTGCCAACTGAAAAGGTAAGTTCCAGTTGTCTTTTATTGAATAGCTTTCCATTCTGTTCTACTGTTTATTATAAATTAGGTAATAATATTCTCATTCTAAAAGGTTTCATGGGTCAAGTGCATGTTCTCTTTTGAGCACATACTGCAAAAATATTGGTATATGACATGTGTAAAGTGCCAGCGTCTAACTTCCGCTGACTATGGATGCACTTATACTTGCAACCATTGCAATGAAAAGCAATCTGCTCAGCCAAGGCAAGCTATTTATTGCAGTTTCTGAGTTTCTTTTATGCTACTGAATTTTATGCATAGATGTTTATTCCCCCCTGCCGCACATTTATTGCAGATGTCGTTTTGATATTGACCTGACCGATCATTCTGACACTATTACGGCTTCAATTTTTGGTGAACAAGCTGAGACATTGCTAGGATTTACTGCTTCACAAGCAATGCATTACTTCAACAGGGTCTGAATTCGCATTTTCTTTGCTTGTTTTAGTTCTTATATACCTAGAAGCTGAGCATATACATATATATATATATATATATATATATCAAACCATGACATATCATTGTTCTGACTTCTGCGAACCTCTTGTTTTTGGGCTGATAGAATGAAGACCTACCTTTAGCCAAGCTCCATGAAGAGTTGAAGAATAAGATGTTTATTGTACAGCTTAAACCAGGAAGCACGAACAATGATGGATCGTATCAGCGTTACACTATTGTGTATTATTTTGAGGAAAATGCTAAGACTACCTCTGCTGAAAATCAGTTGCATCGTGGTTCAAGTGCTAGCACCGGTATACTCCCTAAAACTCTTATGTTTTAGGTGTAGATATGATGTTTTCAATGTAGTTGCTTCTGTATATAAAATACCTAATTTTACTGTCATTATAATTTCCGTTTGAAGCCAATGAAAGCTACCTTCAAATCAGTACTGATCAGGCTCCTTCTTGTGTTGCTTCACCTCCAGGTATGTACTTCTTGCTCTTTTGTATATTAACTCACTTTCTTTAAATAATTGTTTTGACTGTCGAAATATTTTTTTACAGACAAAGAAGAATTGCCATCTAAAACACGCCGTTCTCTTCTAAGCAGCCTTGATGAATCTGAGGAAGCTACTCCAAAGAGGCTGCGCAAGAAATGATTGTCAATTAGGAACTGTTGTGAAGCAATCTCTGACAGGCTCTTCAAACTACTTCTGTTATTAAGCTCGTAATGCTGAGCACTAAATTGTTTACCTAAAAATTCCTATTGTATTGCATCTGGTTACTTGTGTTACAGCATTAGGGATAGTTTACAGACTACCAGCTTTTGTTTCCAAACTATGGAATTGCCTTAGCCTTTTCTTTTGTCAATGTATTCTGGAAGATCTTAAACCAGTAGTTTTTCCCAGGATTTTGTTCACCCGGGGTGCAGGTACTTGTGTCTTTACTCCACTGCAATATAATAGTGTAGATGGCCATTAAATGCATCAGAAGCGTGCCTGGTTCTTACCAAACATGATAGTTATAACCATTTGCATAGTTAATGTTGATCCACTCTTGGACTTTCACCCATGTTCCATATAGGTTTGCCAGTTTGTTGTTTCAGTGACTGTGCCAAAGACACGTCCAGCTAAGTTACAGGTCTAGCACCATACAGCTGAATACACCTGCCACCATTTTATCAATAGTCATTGATTACGCCACTGCAACTTTACTCCTTTGTACTTCCATTCACCTACCATATTTACTCTCTCCTTGCTATTCCATGATTGAAGACAGGAAACTTTTCCAGCATATAACGATACACAAATGTCTGAACATCTGCACTTTGCATGCTTAAATCATTCAGTTGTAATCCTTTTTAGTTGATTTATTCTTTTTATGTATGCTTTTCACTTGATTTAAATGCTCAGTTCTTATATTTCCAGAACCATGTTTGTGATGAAAGTTGGCGTTATCAATCTTACCATTCTTAATCTGCAATCAAGTTGATTTCTTTTTTGTTATTATATTTTTTGTTTTGTTTTTTTAATTTTTTTTTTGGTGGGGTGGGGAGAGGGGGGAGAGGGAAGAAGCAGGGAAGGGGTGTAATGAGGGAAAGAATCCAAACCCTGTTTAACAGGACTTTTAACAACTAAGCTATTGTCCAATTTCAATCAAGTTGTCATCTTTGCTTATTGAGGGGGGAAAAAAAGAATTTGCTTCAAGTTTTGAATTGTGTAAATCTTGCTTCTGCATTTTAGAGAAGGAAAAGCTTCACTGGGAGGGGAAAAAAATTCTTGTAGTTCACATACAACACTAGATGTCACAATATACCTGCCACCATTTTATCAATAGCCATTGATTACGCCACTGCAACTTTACTTTTTTGTACTTCCATTCACCTACCATATTTACTCTCTCCTTGCTATTCCATGATTGAAGACAGAAAACTTTTCCAGCATATAAGGATACACAAATGTCTGAACATCTGCACTTTGCATGCTTAGATTTCTCTAGCCTTGCCGCAGCTCTTATTGTGGATCACCTCTTAGCATTTTCCCCACACGTTTTCTTCCTATTGTGCTTCCTGACTTGCCAATGACTACGCCAAAGAATCCGTTCAAAAAATGGTTAGCCGTTCCCCACCGCAACAAAACCAGGTTCTTTCTTTGCACTTTCAACAAAACAAAAATGCATGCTGCAACAATGGTTGAAACCCCTGGAGAACAGAACATATGTTATATCAAAAAAAATTTCCTTTCGACTTATACAAAAATACTAAGCCATACAGGAGAGCCATCTTTATATTCCTTTGCCTCCATTACCCAATGGCTGCAGAACATAATCGACCTTTCTCCTGAAGCTTTTACAGCTACTGGTATACTTATATCTTTCATCTTCTGTATTAGTTACTTCTACGTTTCCTTTGTGTTTAACGCTATACCCTTGTCTATAGATACAATCACCACTTTCTTTGAAAACGTACCAATAGGGCGACCATGGTGTTTTGTTCTTTTCTGTTCAGATAGAACCAAACAGGTTGGTTAAACAAAAAAAAATCTTCTTTTTTGCTTATTTGTTTCTCACATACTAATTTTTACTTGCCCATTTTTCCCTTCTATAGAAAATCTCTACTGATCTATTTGAATCAATTAGACTCCAAGATGGCATAACAATTACGGTATACCATGGCCTTCGCTCCTGGAACATTAAAATCAAGGACGGATATTTTGAAGAAGGTTGGGAATTGTACTATACAACTAATTTAATCCGCAAGAATGACATGGTCTTCTTCAGAATCAAAGGAATTTTATCCTACGATTCCATGGCTTTCTGCACTTCCCGATCACATATTCTCATGCCATGGACACTTCCTTTGCCTATGTTTCCGAGCATTGCACCCAATGTTGAAGCATCTGCTTTCTTGTTCAACCAGCAGGCCTGTTTATGTACTATCACTTCCTCTATAAATCAGTTTCTGCAGCATGATTGGTCATCATTTGTTTCTTTCTATCAGTTTTATACAAGTCGCTCACAGCACAGTCTGGTAAGTACTTTCCTTTATACAATTTTGTTTACAAATGTATTTTTCAGTTGTCTAACAAAAAATTTTTTTTTTCCCTTTCAAAATAGACCCTACCACGATACGCCGACCTTCGACTGCATGAAGGCACAACACCAACAGTAATTCTTACAAGCGGCTATAAAGCATATTACATTGGCATGAAACACCGATCTTTCGACAAGAATTGGGCCACTTTTGTAGCCGAACATGCTCTTTGCCCAGGAGACATATTACTTTTTATTCCACAATCAGCAACCTCTTTTGGTGTTATTGTATTCAACGAAGCTGGCATTGAAAGATAATATCCATGGCATTTTAATTTCACTATTCCTCTAATTTAGCATGTATTAAGTTGATGAATATTACACTACTCTATTCCATTTCCTATTATGTATCTTGTTCTATTCTTAAGATCTTTCTTTATATGAAAATTATGTCTTACTATCTTTCCTATATCTTATTCTTAAGCTCAAAAAAAAATTTAACCATTGGTCTAACAAATCATATACTTATCCGATATTTAATTTTCGCGTTATATGCTCGTCTGGGCATCTTTTTTTTTTTATGCCACTGCGCACCGCGCGGTTTATGTCTGCTAGTTTCAACATAAGTAGATAACATGGCAACTCCATTCAGCCAGAACTTTCGTCGTCCTCTCACGTGCCCGGCATGTGGATTAGAAGCATTCAGTCCTTCGTGCCTTGCGCGTTAGCTTCTCACCTGGCCTCGCTGCCAGTATCCAATGTGCTTCTGCTGCGTTCTCTCTTTCCGCTGCCTTCTCTCTGCAGCTGCTCTCTTTCTCTTTTTTCTGTCTTCGTTTCTATCGTTGTCGTTCTCTCTATTTCTCTTTTCCTCTTCCTCTAGGGTTAGATACATTCTCAGACTTTGTTTCCTCCTCCGCCGCCGCATCGTCTCCCTCTCCTCTCCTCTTCTATATCGGCTCGTTCTCTACCGTTTTTTCTTCTGTTTTCTTATTTTTTAGTTTTCCCGTCTTTTTCTTTTTTCGTCTTTGCATCCGTTCACTCCTCCTCCTCCTTCTCCACCGCCACACCGTCTCCTTCTCCTTATCCGTTCTTTCTATTTCTCTTCTCTCCTCTAGGGTTAGATACAACTTCAGAGTCTGTCTCTCTATTTCTTGTCTCCTCCTCCACCGGCACACCGTCTCCGTGTCCTCTTCTATCAGCTTCTTCTCTACCCAACATCAGAGATCTATTTTACTCCACCAGCCCTAGAATTCCCCCCCTCCTTCGCCTTCCTCCGCTTTTTTTAACCATTTTTTCTTCTGTTTTTCCCTTTTTTTTCCTTTTTCCGCTTTTTCATCCGTTCACTCCTCCTCCTCCTCCACCGCTACACCGGCTCCCTCTCCTTTATCGGCTCCTTCTATTCTACGCCCAGGATTATGGGTTTCCCTTCTCCCACCAGTCCTGGGATTTCTCTTCTGCCTCCCTCTTGTTCAGGTTCATTCTCGCCGGATCCCCTCTCAGCCATTGGGAGCACTTTGAAATTCGCTGCAAGCTCGTCGCTATCCTCGGCATCTCTTACTGCATTCTTTTGAAGTATTTGCTTCTGTGAAACGTTGAAGAAAAAGTTAAAGATATGTTGACTACAACTCGGTTTCAAATTATATGTAATTGGATTTTTTTATTTGTTATTTGTAATATATTAAAAATTAATTGCTTCCTGATTATTTTGTCATGCCTTGAGTAGATTGAGGCAATTTTCAGCAACAACAAGGTGTACAATGCGGAGATGATTGTTGTGATGGCGAGTCGAAGTTCAAATTACTGCTTGTAAGATTTTTCTCCAAATATATTTTTTTATCTGGTTTTCTTTTAATTTGCAGAATTAGGTAACATTTTCCCAACGTATATCTACAAGCTCATTACTCATTTCTTTTTTCTTTCTCTAATTTCTGTCATCATAAGAAAAGGATTATTATAACAATGACTGACAAACCGTCCTTGCTTAGAGGAAACAGAGAAAGGAAACAGTTAAAGAAAAAAAAAAGGAAGAGAAAAGGTTGAAAAAATTATACACTTTTTTACTCTATGCTGACTTATGATGTACTTCCTGCGCCTAAGTGTACCAACCTGAGACTAAGTGTATCAACATGAATTGATATAGTTGATGAACATGTTCTGTTATTCAATCAAAGCAGCTTTTAAATGTGATTGGATATACCTTTCCAGCAAAATGAAGTTCTTTCATGTCAAGAATTGAATAAGATTGAAACAGGTAGACCTTGATAATTGTCTACTACATGAGGGTTTATATGTGTAGGTATGTTTTTGAATGTCATCCGAAACCTGGAGGTGGAAGGGACATTGTCTACTTCATGAATTAAATTGGATTTCATCTTATTTAAGTGCTGCATATATATTTATCCACAACAAAGAGATTATTGTTTACCAGTTATTTATTGGAAGTTGGCAACTTTGGCCTTTATGTGTTTTTCAGGTTTTGTTAAGAAGGAAAATCAATGCCAAGAATCATTACTGGTGGACCTATCTTTTCTTGATTTATTATATGTTGAATGATTGAGTTGGATCTATTGCAATTATCTATTGATTGAATACCTTTAGCTTTTTGCCAGGTTCTGTGTCAAAACTGATTTTAATTTGTAGCTATGGTACATTTGCTACTTGAGGTTGTGATGGTTATGTCTATGTGTGGAATGGAAGCAATAAAAAAAGCTGTATTAGTTATTTTTCCTTAACTGAATTTGAAATGTCTTCCGCTCCATGATGACAATGTTCACTCTTGTTCAATGTACAGTGCTCAAAATGCCTAATAAGCATCGCAGTCTTGTCATTCAGCAGAGAAACCATAGATAGTGTGTACAGACTAGGAGTTCATTGGTTATTTATATCCTGTAAATTTCTTTTTTCAGAGAAAAAAAAATTAATTAAATTTTTCAAAAAAAATTAATGGTCCCTCTATCCATTTTGATAACAAAATTAATTAATTTTTCCTAAATTGTTGGGTTGCAATCACTTGTTTGTGCCAAGTTCTAAATAATTATATAGAGTGTGTACAGACTAGGAATTCATTGGCTAAGCAGTAGGAATTCACTGGCTAAATTTATACTCTATGATTTACATTGTAGGTTCAACAAGCCTTTGCAGACTTGGAGAGGTGATTTTCCATTTGAAAAGATTGTCTATCCTTAGTTCCAGCTTTATTTTATTATTGCTAACTGTTAACTAAAATTTTCTTTTGATTTTTTTTGGGTTTCCAATGGCTTCCTTGAAGATCTGTAATTTATCTTCCTTCATTCTTGGCTATTATTCCTTTCCTTGCATGCTGCTTATTAATTTTTTTCTGTGCTGCCTTTGAACTTTGGATGGTATAAAAATTGCTGAAAGACTTTCTTTTGAGGAATGTTTGTTTGGCTAAATAATATATTGTTGCTGGGAATTGGCCAGAACTGTCAAATGAATCTCTTTTTAACATTTTCTTCTAAAAATTTCTTGATGAGAGCTAAAAAGTTTGTCAGCTCGAAACTAACTGATCTTTCAGCAAAGTTGTTGTTTTAGTATGCACGATTAGGATTGATCATTAGATATTAGCAAAAGTAACATGTTTGATGCAGTACTGATAGGTCAAATCCTTGCATGTGTTATTATATGTAAAACATCTAACAATGGAAGCATATTTGTTTTGCTGCCTAAGATATACGGTCATGTTGACATCTTGCATAGCACGTATTCAGGTTGAGTTACTGGGTCAAATGAATGTTTAAGTTTCACAGTTTGAGGTACCTCCTCTTATATGTTCTGACCCAAGGGCTAATCATGATATTTTATCTGTTTACCTGCAAGGGCCGTGGATATCTTGTTCCAGACGATGACTACAAGGTTATAGTACTGTTTACTATGATTGTTAGGTGTAAGTTTCACAATACAATTGGAAAAATGTTTGAGTTCTGGTGATATTCTTTTATTTACTCATGAGGTGATCTGAACTGCACCTCCCCCCCCCAAAAAAGTTAATTAAGATGGAGATTGAGCAAACTTCATGTATGTTACCTTCTATTTTATATACAATCTCCAGTTTCTCTTAGAATGGTGAAGATTTATATGCATATGGCAAACCTGTTACCTTTGAAGTACTCTGATGCTCAACTGATTTGTGTTTTTTAATGATCTGAACAGTGTGTGTTTCGATGATTTGACACTCAACCGATTTGTGTCTTAATGATCTCACACTTTGACACTCAACTGATTTGACATGTTATCTAAATCTCCAGTTTCTGAACACTTATCATGATCTGTGTTTTAATGATCTGAGGGTTCGGAGCCAACTTGCATTTGATGTGCTCTGACTAATTTTTACCTAGAGTTTACTTGTGCTTTATGGGCTCTGCCTAATTTTTCCCTTTTCAATTGTAATTTGTAGAGTTTTGATCAGAAGAGGAGTGGAAGATTCAAACTGGATGGCTTCATATCACTCTGTATATTTGTACAGTCTGCGCAGTAGGTGGAATCTTAATTTCTTATACGGTGTATTTTGATTGACCAGTTAGAGTTATTAGCTTCATGAAAATGTCAGAAAAGTACCTTGCTGAAGGTATTAAAAAATGTTGTGCTCATAAATCATTTATCATTGATGTAGTCAGTTGCTTGTAAATCCCTTGCTTACTTTAAGCTGTGAGGGCTGGATCCCGAAATTTGTATCTGTTTGTGAACTGCTTTAGAGACCATTAGACTATGATTATTTGTATCTAGGCCGTTTTTCTTTCTTATTTCTGATTATTTGATTGTCTAAACCAGCAAAACCTATCCATTCACTATATACAGTGTGTACAGACTAGGAATTCATTGGTTATTTCTTTTTGTTTCAGGTTTTGACAAATGTTGTTTTATATCCTGTAAATGATGTTCTTCTGTGTTTGGTTCTTTCTGCAAGATGTTACTTTTACTTCGGTGTGTTGTGTACCAAGGCATCTTCATAAGTTACTTGTGTAAGGGCTGTTTTAAATGATTACACTTATTCTTCTTGAATGATTTTAATGCTTTTGACTGAATAAATAATGTGTACAGACTAGGAATTCATTGGTTATTTGTGCTTATGCATTTTATGATTATGTTTCTGATTTTTTTGCTGCAGAATGCTGAACTGAGTGCTCGTGTGGCTAAACAGAATGCTGAACATCTGCTGTCCCGTGTTAGGCATGCATGTCGTTGGATTATGAGTGCAATTTCGTTGGATGTTTTTTAGTTAATGTGTATTATGTAATTATAGTTGTTGGAGGACTCAAGCACAGAAATTATGTAATAGCTTCAAAATCTGGTTGTTACTATTGTTTATCGCTTCAAGCTTTGATAATGGACTTATCAAGCTTTAATAATGAATGTACTTCGGTTACCTCAGTTTGATGTTAAGCTTTGATAGTAGATGTTTGAACGGAATGTACTTATTAGCCTTTGATGTTTAGCAATAAAGTTGATGCTAACTTTGGTTACAAAAAAACACGTGGCTGCTTTTTATCCATTTTGACTACAGGCCTGAATAGCATTTTGGATGGTGCATTTTTTTATCCAGTGTGATGGTTGCAATCTTAAGCATTTCAATAAACCATCAAAGCAGAAAAATTAGCTCTTCAGGCTTTTTTGATGGGTGTAATATTCCTATGTAACTAGGCTTTTGCCTTCAACTGAACCCCCCTCCCCCACTCTCAAACAACAAAAAAAGAAAAAGAACCAAAAATAAAGTGAGGAACGAAGGGAGCAGGGAACCACTTGATTAATGCTCCTTATGTTGATAAATAATTTGTAAAACTCGTTTTCTATCATTTCATTATTCTGATCTTATTTGTTGATAAGATGATATTTTGCATAGAGGTTTGCTTGTCATTTAATCGTAGTAGTTGCAATTTCTCGTCTAAACACCTTGTTGCTCGATAAAAATCTCCGAAAAGAACAAAATATAAATTATTTCCCTCGTTCTGATTATTTCTTTCCTTAACATTAGTCCTCAAAATATTTTTATTAATAAAAGTATCATAAATTGGTACCATAATAACACAGGCATAGCCTTTTATACAGTGACTATGTTACATTAGAAGATATTGAGTATGCTAGGATAGTGGCGCAGTCATGATCAAATACATAAAAATACAATAATTTGAAAAATATAAATTTAAGCTTAAAACTTACAAGCCAATAACTAGCATTCAAATACTTTTAATAATAGGCCTAAATAAAATACAAAAAATGTTAGGACTTAAGAAATACTGCAATTCTATACCACCTATTCATGCCACTCAAAATCAAAATGGAAGCTAACAAAAACGTATGATAAAAAAAGAAAAATATTTGATGGAATGACAATATTAAAATTAATTTATAATTTTTTAAAGTCTGTTATTATTTACCTCTCACTACTAAATAAGAATAATTGATAACAAAATTAATAGTTTAGATGTAATAGACATAGAAAAAACTTGAAAGAAAAATAAAAATTCTTAATTTGGAAAATTATTAAAGAGTCATGCCTTGAAAACAAACTACAGAGATTTAAATGTTGGTCTGTTAATTATAATCATAAACAAGAGGAACTTCTGGGGCGCTCTTTCTTTCCTTACTCTGTATTATATACTACGTTGGCTCCATTTTTTTCAACAGAACTGGTTTTCTAAAAAATGTAAGTTGCCAGTTGCCATTCACCAAAGGCTTTGTGAGAAACATCCAAGAAATATCAACAAAACTTCAGACTTGTAAAATACCTATACTAAAAAATATACTTTTCTACATAAATTATTATTTTGATTAGTTCAAAACTGGGCAGGCATTTTATATTTCTATCGCGCGAAGCGCGTTCATGCCTCCTAGTGTTGAAGAAAAGAAGCAGCTCTTTCTCTTGTCGCCCACACCACTGAATGACAAAAGCCACCAACACTGCATGACAACAGACCAAACTGCCCCTCAATCTCACACAAATCACGCTATAACCGGCCCATTTTTACTGTAGCTAAGCAAACGGGCGCCTTTAGTATAGTAAAGATATTAAAGAGTATGCTGAACTTTGGATATATAACCAAGTTAATATGATTTGCAACGTTAGCTCAATTTTTTTAAATACAATATATTATTTTATTTTAGAATGATAATAACGTTTTCAAATTGGGATATTTCAATTCGGTGGCTAAATCAAGTTGATTGTCAAACAAATAAAACTTTCACCAGCTTAAGATTTTGAGCCTTCAAGTTTAAGACTTCCACTTCCAATTTTATTGTTGGCCTTAAGGCTCAGTAGCAACTGGCAAGTTTTGGGCTTTATGGTCAAAGGTGGGGGTCCAGCAAGGAGCTTAAGTGGGTTATTGGTAGTCAGGTGTCTAATATGGGGGGAAAAAATTGGACAAAAAATTGGCAAGCCATTAGCAAACGATTAAGGAAACAAAATTCTTGTCATCGGATTGTAGTTCTTTATGCACCAACAACCCCCCCCCCCCCCCACCAAAAAAAAAAAGAAGAGGTTGACGTATCCAAAAAGCATACGCTCAAATTGTGAACTTTTACATTTAAGTTTTCAGAACCCTTTTTAACTTTTTAGTTTGTCTAAAAGGAGCCCAATTCCGCTAGTTAAGATTGCCTCCACATATGAAGATTTTTGGCAAACCTGAAGACAAATGTAAGCATTTATAATGGTAATCAGACTTGCCATTACCTCTTGACCTTTTCTAACCAAAGTTAGAGTTACGGCTTTTACAAGCCTAAACTCCAGAAGAACCTCCAAAAGCCGGCACTTTTGGAGGCCTTCCAGGAGACTTATATCTACCCAACCCAACCCCCCTAGAACTGATGTGGGATGGCAACCCCACAAGGGCAAGCCAGTAGGCCGGCCGCTGCTAAGAGATAAAGATCCCCCACCAAACCCAGTATGCTACCCTTGCAGGAATTTGCCTCTTGACCTTTTCTAACCAAAGTTAGAGTTACCATTACCTGAGTTGGCAGAAAATGCCATTACCTGAGTAAGTACTAATTATCTTATTAAATGGCTACTGTCAAGGTAAGGTTATATGAGACAATAACCTGTAGTTGGCAGAAAGGGGGAAACAAGAATAACAGAATACTAGCAGACTACAAACAAGTTATCTATTAATTAATTGTCATCTATTAATTATCTCCACAGCCTTGCATTCATTTTCATTCTTTTCACCAGTCTAGCAAGTTATCTCCACAGCTTATATGCCGTTAACAATGATGGGTACCAAGCAGATGCAGAATTACTAGTCTAGAAGAATGAAAGGTCTGTGCACGTTTTTGTCCTTTTGTATATTCAGCAGTTGCTAATGGAAGACCAAAAATTGTGCATGGAGCAAAGAAAGGAAAAAGTGTAATATATTAAAGCATCCGCTGCACATTCTTGTCTCAAGGGAAATTAAAAAAAAAACAAATGGAATTTAATCAAGAAATTGGTTGTTTTGGGTCCCAAAGCCCCAAAAACTCGTGGTTATGACTGATGACTGGTTGTTGTGTATGGATCTAGATTTAGATGCCTTCAATTCGGAGATTTTTTTCCCCATTCATTGATCATTGGTTAGCAATCACTAGTCACTTTTTCACGTACCTGCTCAATTACAAGAACGAAAAGGACAATACATTCTTTTATGCGTACATGTTCTAGGAGCTATGCTAACTATATTTGTGTATGATGTGCTGATACTTTTTGTGGCAGAAAATTTAAAAATTTCGTTAGCATTTTTGTCAAAGGATGTAAACTCCAAATGTTAAAGATTCATAATTGGCTTAAACAAGCTTTTTTGTCATCATACAAGAATTGAAGTGCTTAAATTGGAGCTTTTCAGAAAGGAAATTATACAATTCACAGCGTACTATTTTTGAATTGTTGGAATACGTAGGGTTTCAAAATAGAGCAATACTTTCTTTTGTCATTGAGAAAACAGTTCTAAAACAACCATTAAATGAGACAGAATAACTAAATGATAAAGGAAAATACTAGAGAAAATGCATTACCAGAAAACAAACAATATAAAAAATCGCTCTCTTCTAGTAATTTTTTTTTAGATTTTTTACCGGACAAAAGGAATACAAGAAAATTGGTAAAATTGTTCCTTGGGTGTTGTTGTCCCACCTTGTGTACTTCATTGTTTATAAAAAAAATGAAAACAAAGATAAAAAGAAGGAAGAGAAACACACAGCTGAAACTGCCAAAAAAATTTTGCTCTTCAAGTTATTAATTTAGTCCTCAAATTTAGAAGGACGCATTTTGTTCCAGGTCATGATATGGATATATGCCAAATTAGTCCTTATGCCTGTATCTCACCAGGAAGGCCAGGGGAATCACACCCGTCTCAAGTCTCAACTCACAAATCGCTAGAAACGGTTAATGGCACAAATGAACCAACCTCCTCTAGAGAAGTTGGCTACCATATTTTGTGAGATAGAATGTTAAAAATTCAAATCTTACCTTCCATCAAAAATTGTCACTTAATGTGGTTTCTCTAAAATCCATATGAGTGCTTAATGCACCCGTATGATTCGATGATGGTTCAATTCCGGTCGATTCTCCATAACCCCATTGGCTTATGTCCCTAGTATATGTTCAATTAAAACTAGGAGTAGAAGTAAATGTAGATGGTGACAATAGACCAAAAAAGAAAAATGTTAATGGCACAAATGGATCGAATTGATGTAATTTAGACCTTTTGTTTTTTGCTTGAGGATTTTACCTTAATAACCCATGCTGGACCAAAATAACATGGTTTGATCTATACGGAATCGGACAGGTATGGTTGAGTTAGATACAATTGGGTACAATTGTTATATTTCATTCACAACTTAGTGTACACTTAAAGATGCGATTGTATTTATTTATTGAATTAGTGTATAAGAATAAATTTTGTGAGAACAATAAAATTATATAAGAGAATCTATATTATGAAAAAAAATACAACAACTGGACGATTGCATTAAAATTCTAATCGCACTTATCCCTGATCCCTATGTATATCATGAACAACTAACGATGGTTACAAAAGCCTCATCCATTTCAATTCTCATTTGCGGTCTTTCTGTTATGATTTCAGTTCCTCAAAAACTTGAACTCTTTTTTTCCTTCTTCATTTTTTTAAGTGCAAGTGGGGGTCTCAAATTT